ATACATAGTTTTAAGAAGAGGTATGATAAAGCTCAGGAAGCAGAGAGAGAGAGGACCTAGTAGCAATCAGTGAAGAGGCGGGGCCAGGAGCTGAGTCTCGACCCGTGCAACCACAATTAGGTGAGTACAATTAGGTGAGTACACACTCACAAACACACACACACACACACACACAAGGTGGACAAAGATAGGATGTTCCAGAGATGGGACACAGCAACAAGGGGACACAGTTGGAAGTTGAAGACACAGATGAATCACAGGGATGTTAGGAAGTACTTCTTCAGCCACAGAGTAGTCAGGAAGTGGAATAGTTTGGGAAGCGATATAGTGGAGGCAGGATCCATACATAGCTTTAAGCAGAGGTATGATAAAGCTCACGGTTCAGGGAGAGTGACCTAGTAGCGACCAGGGAAGAGGCTGGGCCAGGAGCTGAGTCTCGACCCCTGCAACCACAATTAGGTGAGTACACACACACACACACACACACACACCAAGCAGGGATAACAGGGAAGGCACTACAATGGATCAGGGAATACTTGTCAGGAAGACAGCAGCGAGTCATGGTACGTGGCGAGGTGTCAGAGTGGGCGATTGTGACCAGCGGGGTCCCACAGGGGTCAGTCCTAGGACCAGTGCTGTTTCAGGTATTTGTGAACGACATGTTGGAAGGAATAGACTCCGAAGTGTCCCTGTTCGCAGATGACGTGAAGCTGATTAGAAGAATTCATTTGATCGAAGACCAGGCAGAACTACAAAGGGATCTGGACAGGCTGCAGACCTGGTCAAGCAATTGGCTCCTGGAGTTCAACCCCACCAAGTGCAAAGTCATGAAGATTGGGGAAGGGCAAAGAAGACAGCAGACTGAGTACAGTCTAGGGGGCCAGAGACTACAAACCTCACTCAAGGAAAAAGATCTTGGGGTGAGTATAACGCCAGGCACATCTCCTGAAGTGCACATCAACCAAATAACTGCTGCAGCATATGGGCGCCTAGCAAACCTCAGAACAGCATTCCGACATCTTAATAAGGAATCGTTCAGGACCCTGTACACCGTGTATGTTAGGCCCATATTGGAGTATGCGGCACCAGTTTGGAACCCACACCTAGCCAAGCACGTAAAGAAACTAGAGAAAGTGCAAAGGTTTGCAACAAGACTAGTTCCAGAGCTAAGAGGTATGTCCTACGAGGAGAGATTAAGGGAAATCGACTTGACGACACTTTAGGGCAGAAGAGATAGGCGGGACATGATAACGACATATAAACTACTGAGATGAATTGGCAAGGTGGATAAAGACAGGATGTTCCAGAGATGGTACACATCAGCAAGGAGACACAGTTGGAAGTTGAAGACACAGATGAATCACAGAGATGTTAGGAAGTATTTCTTCAGCCACAGAGTAGTCAGGAAGTGGAATAGTTTGGTAAGCGATGTAGTGGAGGCAGGATCCATACATAGCTTTAAGCAGAGGTATGATAAAGCTCACGGTTTAGGGAGAGCGACCTAGTAGCGACCAGTGAAGAGGCGGGGCCAGGAGCTTGGGTTCGACCCCTGCAACCTCAACTAGGTGAGTGCACACACACACACACACACTTTCTTGGACTGCAAGAAGGCATTCGACGCAGTTCCTCACAAGAGATTAGTACAGAAGCTAGAGGATCAGGCATATATAACAGGAAGGGCACTGCAATGGATCAGAGAATACCTAGCAGGGAGGCAACAGCGAGTCATGGTCCATGATGAGGTATCACAACTCAGTGAATAGGAGGGGCCAGGAGCTGAGTCTCGACCCCTGCAACCACAATTAGGTGAGTACACACACACACACACAGAGTGGGCGCCTGTTACCAGCGGGGTCCCACAGGGGTCAGCCCTAGGACCAGTGCTGTTTCTGGTATTTGTAAACATGAAATAAATTGGGTAACGTATGAAGACGATACTGTAAATAAAGGGTCAACAGCATTCCATATTCAGAAATAACTCACTTATGAGAGGAAACTTATGACTACGTTTCACTTCTTCCTAAACCATTATCAAGTCAAAATGTTCAACAGTTTTATCCTTGTTTTTAAGCTTGAAGCCACTGAGAGATCTGGAAGTTATCCGGACCATCCCAGGTTGCTGTGAGAGGGTTCAGTAACTTAGGTCACTGGACACTATCACATGCAAGTTGTTCCTGGAACCTGGCCCTCGTTTCCATACACAAGAGTTCAAAATTTGAAGCCGATTTGATGAAGGGTTCTCGAGTTATGAGGGAATTAAAATCAAGAAATGGGGAAAAAAAAGGCAGTTATTTAATTAAGTTGCTCCTTCTTGGATTCCTAATGAAGGTGCAGAAATTAAGTGATTACTTGAATTTTTAAAACATTCATAATAAGTTTTTGACCGGGGGTATTCATTTTAATGTTGATATACATTTTAAAAAGCTACCTAATTGTTGCCAAATTAGGTGAAATTTATTTCAACCATTTTGAAAAGCCTCTTGTTATACGTAGCATTTCGGGCTATATGTCATGGATGTCAGATCAGAAATATATACGTCGTCGTCCCAAGATGAGCTTCTCCAACAGAGTCAAGATAAAACCATCCAGTGGTACTATCAATGACTCCACCAAGCTTGCCCTTGCTGTGGTAATCAGAGGTCTACAGGTCAAGATTAATACCATCCTCTCACTCCACGAAGCCTTCATTATTGTCTGTGAAGACGATGTTGAAGCTGAAAAACTACTGACCTTCTCCGCTTTGTCCACTCTATCAGACCGTGGCTTCAAAGTCATGTCCTCTCCTGTCTTACGGGCTAAGAGGACTGTCTTCTTGAAGAGACTTGACAAACTGATTACCATACAACCTGTTGAAGACCTAAAGACCTCCATAGAAGAACAAAATCCCTGGGCTACAGTTGAAAGCATCACCAAGATTCCTACTGCCTCCTCCATGCTGAATATCACTTTTACTGATGTGACAATGGCTGCCCAAGCTATGGCTGAAGGCCTGGTCATATACTATTACTTCATTAACTCCAGTCATATTGAAGCTGAGCGGTACCATCATATTACTCAGTGCTGGAATTGATACTCTTACCTACACTCTACAAAAGACTGCCCCACAAAAGACAAAAAGTTCTGCTCTACCTGCGGGTCTGAAGGCCACGATTCCAAGACTTGTACTTCTACTGCCCCACTTAAGTGTCTCAACTGCAAAAACAATCGCCATACTCTCGCTGCAAAGTGCCTCACTCGTCTTGAAATTCTGAATAAAAAAAGCCAAGAAGCAGAAGAGAAGAAGACACCTTCCAAGTCACCTATTTATGCTGCCATCACCAAACTCCAGGCCGACACAACAAAACTTTTAAAAGATACCCAACCCTCCACCACTACTCCATCAGCTTATGAACCTACGAAAATTCATTACTGTATGCTATATGCACACATGCATAATATGGCGTTACTTGGCTCCTTCAACACTGTTATTAACGAGCTCTTCCGATTGAACAACATGCCAAACTTTACTTTCCCAGACTCTCCACCATCTGCCGACATCATCAAGCTCACCAAAAAATTAGGCAACATCACAACACCTGAAATTCCATCTCCAAGAAACAACCAATCAGCGACTTCCAACATCACCACCGCTGTAGACCAATCACCTGAGTCTTCCACCTCTTCTGCTACTACTAACGAATCACCTGCTTCATCTCCAACTCAACCACCAAAAGCCAAGAAAGCTAAGACACTTCCTCCTAAAAATCACCTCGAATCAATAAAATAAAAAAAAAAAATCCACCTCAAGATACTCGAAGACCTGAAGAAATGGAAGAGGAAACAATATTTAGACCAACTGAACCCCTCACCTTCTATGCATATAACCCTCACACCCGTCGCTATATATGTCACCTCAGGTCATCTATTCCATGCACCATGGTAGTATCAAGTACACTGTTGCTCCTGGATGCGATCCCCACACTGAAACTGCCCTAATTGCAGACTTAGAAAAAGACAGCAAAAGTCTGCTCAAACTTAGTTTATTATCGAAACCTGCTGTCAAAAGACTTCAAAATGGCTCTACGACAGGAACGAAAAACTAACAAAACGCGGATATGAAGAGTGTTATCCACCAATCAACGCTGATCCTCTCTCCTCTCTGCATACTTAACCAATCATATTGAAGCATGCCTCCCTCTCCATCCCGCTTCCCGCCGATCTCCAGCAACCAATCGCCGACCAGATCTACAGATCAACCACCATGATGCATCCTGCACAGCTTGCCCACGTCGTCCACATTTCAGCCAAGTCCTGTTCTCTCCAGCTCTATCCCACGATCGTCTCAGCTGCTGGGTTAAGCCCTGGCTCTATTTCTACAACTAGGAACACTCCTCTCCTTCGCTATTCTTCGTCTGTCCCGTCTTCCCCGCTCATCCCATTGGGATCTTACCTGAACTTGTTCGTTCGTTCATGGATGTCAGCTGGGCATGTATACCTTGTACATATACTTAATAATAATATAATATAATAATATCTTTATTTACTACAAGTACATGCTGTATAAGTCTTAGTGCTAATGCGCTATACATTTTTGATTATATAATATACTACATAGTCAGTTGTACATGGTATACAGGCCTAGTCTGACATCAATGTGCTATTATAAATTAAAATAGTACCCTTATTTACATCAGTGCATATCAGGGGAAATTAAGGTGCAGTTTTGTCCCAGATATGCGACTCACAGCCAGTCACTAACAAATACCATTTGATGGATGGTGAACCAGTATTAAACCAGTTTAAGGAAACACGTCCGACGTTTCCACCCCTTCTCCGGGAATCGAACCCGGACCCTCACCGTGTGAAGGAAGAGCTTTTACCACCAGGTCACGGGGCACCCTGAATAAAGATATAATTATTATTATAATTCCAATATAAACATTTTATTTTTCCCCGACTCCAGGGAAGCAAAGCTCGATAAGGCCACCAGTATTGGTGGCCCTTAACACCAATAATATTGGTGGCCCTTAACACCAACAATAACAAGAAAAAGAAAGCCAGAGAAACATTGTCTTCTGAAGTTAATGTTTAAAACACAGCAACAATGAAGTGTGTTATACCGGGAGTTAATATTAAAGGTATTTTCCAACTACTGTATTTTCAGCATATATGTACGAGGGTCTTTCTCTTTACATGTGTAGGTAGAGCTGTCCTCTCAAGGGAGGTTCCTTGACGCTGGTGAGGGGCTCTTGATCTTGGGAATTGGATCTGTGCTCCGGTTCCTAAATTGAGCCTGAATACCTTCCATCCCCCACCCCACATGCGCTGTATAATCCTACGGGTTTAGCTCTTCCCTATGATTATAATAATAATAATGGTAGAGCTGCACACTTCTTGGCAGTGCTGGCAGACTTTGCATGAATAGTAGCGCCTTCGGCTCACATCTGAAGACCCCAGGTTCGATCCTGGCGCGAGTGGATAAGAAACTTTGGGAATGTTTCCATACGCCTGTTGCCTCTGTTCACCTAGAAGTGAGTAGGTACATAGAAATTAGCATACTGTATTGAGTAGCATCCTGGGAAACATGGTCATAGGGAACTTGCATGAATCAGGGGATTATTGTACTGGCTTAGCTGCAGTTTATAGAGTGTATTGTACAAAATTATTATATTACACAAATCGTTTTCACTGCACAAAACTATGAAATTATTTCCGGTATATAAAGTGCTGCAGAAAGTTTTTATAATAAAATGAAATACTGTTTTAATCTAAAATTATGTATGGTATTAAAATATCTTTTTTTTTCAGTTTTTGGAAGAGCCATTCATTCGCTGGCAAAAATTGGGGATGAATTATATATTGAACCACATTCTACAGGTACGTGTATTTTTTAATATAATTTATTTATCCTTTTTTGTTAATACAGTTGCATCCCGAGCTAAAAAAATATTGAACAAGTTTATTATAAAATAATTTAAGAGTGAGATTTAAATATAAAGGGAACCATTGCATTTAATTGTTTGTTAAAAGTGGCTGCCACTCCAAGAATGTGGATTAAGTGTAAGGAAACATGCCCAACATTTCTCCTGTGCTGGGGAGCAATCCCTGTTATAATAATAATAATAATATCTTTATTTCTACAAGTACATGTACAAGGTATACAGGCCTAGCTGACATCAATGACATACTACTATATAAAGCCCCTTCTTATGCAGAGCATTTCGGGCAAGTTAGTTCAGTTTTGTCCCAGGATGCAACCCACACCAGTCAACTAACACCCAGGTACCCATTTTATACTGATGGGTGAACAGGGGCAGCAGGCATTTTAAGGAAACACGTGTGTGAGCTGAGAACACTATCAACTGAACCAAGAGCTTCTACATATCATTCAGCCTGTTGTTATCATGAGTAACAAAGTTATTAGTGATTTAAATTCATCAGAATCAAACATGTATGTACTGTAGTACTTCCTTGTAATTCCACCTCACCTCATAAGGAACCTTAAAATCTTCTACATTGAAAGCATGATAGTAATGGTAACAAGGCAGTAAAGCAGAAATAGAAGGCAAAGGCTATCAAACCGCACCTAATATCCATCATGGAAAATAAAATGTCACCGATAAAGGATACAGTATATGCAGGATGATAAACCAGGTGAAAGGTAGAAGGGAACTAACACTTCTCATCAAGGATCAGTGGAGATTTAAGATTATTTTATTTAGAGGAAAATGCAAAATCAGTTGGGATTGCACAGCACCTGGGGAAATGGGGGGCAGTCAGGTTTGATCTAAGGAAAGGAAGGATAAGTCCAGTTCCTTGGATCACGAGCCCCCTCACCAGCATCAAGGTACCTCCCTTGATGAGCAGAGAAATATGAGCTGGGGAGTATCACAATAGGTAAACAAAAGACAGCTGTGGCTGTCTTATACAACTTTACTAAATGGCAACAGAGTAAAACAGGAACATGATGACAGTAATGAGGCTCTCATAAAGATAACAGAGAAAGCAGCTAGGTTTGCTAATAAGACAGGTGTGGAACTGTTCATGAGGGATAACTTCAGTCACCAAGAAAGAAAAAGACCCTCATGGCAGAGAGACACATAGAGCAAAGTTAATGAAGGTAATAATATAAGATTTTCTCAACCACCATGTAAAGGATCCGATGAGAATAAAAGAAACTGAGCCTGCCAGATTATATTGTACCTATTCACCCAGTGAAAATTAGACACCAGAGTACAAAGGGTCAATTTTAGCTTCAGATCATTGCTGCCTAATGTTCAAGTTCTTCACCTGATGGAAGTACAGTAGAACCCCGGTTAACGATATTTTTTCATTCCAGAAGTATGTTCAGGTGCCAGTACTGACCGAATTTGTTCCCATAAGGAATATTGTGAAGTAGATTAGTCCATTTCAGACCCCCAAACATACATGTACAAACGCACTTACATAAATACACTTACATAATTGGTCGCATTGGGAGGTGATCGTTAAGCGGGGGTCCACTGTATCAGTGAAAAATAAAGGAAGTCCAATATTAGCAGAAGGATTGCAAACAAACATAACATATACACTTAAAGTTTATTCTTTGCATTATTACTGCAGAAAGTATGATTTCAAATGACTGTGATTGCTTCTGTGTAATGATTACAATTAAATCCACAGGAGTTTCCTTCCGTACTGTCAACTCATCTCGATCAGCGTTTGCTTCATTTCACTTTGACAGTAGATTCTTCTCTCATTTTGATGATGGTTTGGTTAGTCAGCAACCAGATGCCGAGGATGAGACTGTTAAGTGCAAAGTCAGTATGAAGGTGAGTTTTTTTAAGAAGTTTACTGATTACACTATGAATAAGGACTAATGTGTTGCTGTCTGATCATTTGGGACAAATAAGGATGTTTTTGTTATCAGTCACTTGAGACTGTTGCTTAAGGTACAGATTTATTTTCTGTCTTACTCTTGAGAATGGAATTTAGTAAGATATGAATAAATGCTAAACACCTGAACTAATAAACAATGTGCTCAAAGGTAAATTATAGTACAATTAAAGCACAAGTAAAAATTATCATAAATTTTTAAAGCCTTATATTTGAAACTGTCCTAAAGAGATTTGTCTAGAATACTGTATAGCCACTTCTCACTTAACGACGGAGTTCCATTGCTAAGACCACATCAGTAAACGAATTCGTCACTAAGTGAGGAGCATACTATAATAGTAGTGGATTTGTGTCAACCATCTTTGACATTGTTTTAATGTCACCTTTGCACCATTTATAACATTTCTGCTATATTTTTAAATGTTTATACAGGCAGGCCTTGTGCAAAACTTGAACATATTTTTCTGGCTTTGCTCATCAAAACCTTTGTCTCTTTGTTAACAGTATGCTGGGTGATGATTGCGTAAATTTCAGTATCGTCAAGTAGATATTCCATCTTGTTGTAGGCAGTACTGTTTATGATGACTATTCCACTGCCTTTGCCAGCTGTTGTGATCCTGATGTTAGGGTTCTTACCTAACTGTCCAAGGGCTTCACTGTATTGTTTTGGCAGTGCACGTAAAGAGGTCTCCTGTAGGGCTACTGCAAAATTGCCTTGTATGAAACATTTATCTAAGGCAAGCTAGTGTGTGTATGGTTCCTTGTTGTCAAGTCAGTATATTGTCCTGGTTTGCAAATCCCCATAACAGACTTCAAGCCTAGGCTGAAGGCTTTTATTTGTGTCTGACAGTTGGACAGAGGACAAAGTGGTGATAATGGATGGTCTTCCAGTATTTGTCCAAGTGCTATTTGTACACAAAGTACAGTATGTAGAATACAAGTATGCTTAACTATCTGTCTAATGTTGGTTGTGTCCCATGCTAAACTGTCTCAAAAGGAGAAACCAACTTGTCTCGCTTCATGAAAGTCCATGATATTCTCCTGGGCAAGATTATGTACATGAGGTATGGTCATAGTGGGAGGATATCAGGATGGTCAGTGTGCCAATGATGTACCAGTGTGGACCTTGGAGCAACTATTTCATCCATATGACTAGGACATAATTTCAACCTGTTCAGGACGATGTATGCCTTAAGAAGTCATTTTTCTTACTTTCTGTGTAAAGCCTACATGTTTATTCAATATGAAGAAAAATATAAGAAATAAAGGCATAATGGAGACAAGTGGTAAGTAATCACTTCAGACAGTGAAGTCTTTATTGGTACAAAGTTTCACCCATGTGTGGGCTGTAACAGAATTTAATTATGTTCACATTGGTGACCCCCACATCACATCATCTTGGAACAAAGGAAACCTAACATGGGCCTGTAGGACTCTTACAGTGCCCCACAACTACTTGGCATATTTACACCTGATCACACATCCCAGATGCTCTGTACTGTATATGCTTTATTTTTCTCATTGTGCTATGTACTGTACCTGATAAAGCCCTTTCATTGATGAAAAGTTGTACCAATAAAGTGTTAGCATACAGTGTCTTACATACAGCTTATTGGTGTCATGCCTTTATTTGATATTCCTTTCATTTTAAAAGCATGCCTTGTGGTAGAGGTGTTAGGTTTAAAGGATACGGGGATATTTTTCTTGCCTTACACATTGACTGAAACATATTTAGTTAATGCTGCTATATAGTAAAAGAAATGTTACCAAATACTCTCCATGCATTTCTTTATTTTATTGTAATTTACCTGTGCAATTTCTTAGAATTTGTTTTCAGGCTTTTATAAGTGTTTTCAAGTCCCTTGCTGCTCTGGAGAGGACTGTAGAAAAATGCAAATTGGTATTGGATGGAGAAGACGCCAAGTTAGGAGTTCAACTCACATGTCGTCATGGAATAGTTAAATCGTGCACTTTGTCTTTCATTGAATGCGAAACTTTGCAGGTAAGTAAAGATCTGTATGTTTTGTTGTTTAGCTGTCATTTTTCATGAACACAAGGTGACCCAAACAAGAAAATACATTTACCATCACTTGCTCTTTAGCTTGTTTTCCAATAGGGAATGGATGTCATGGTCTTACGTTAACCCACCAAACCATAATATACAGACCTAACTTTCAGTATCTAGGCACTATACTTTCCTGCCTCCAAAATTCGAATTCATCTAGCCTGATTACCTGAATTCTTTTAGTGTTTTGCTCTCTAACAGATAACTGAGTCCCAAGAACTACTATTTTTCACTTATTTGAATCTAATATGCTCACATATGTCTGCTACATGTTTAAGATCCTGTCTCAATACCATTTTTATAACTTCCCTTCAACTCCTTCCATATAGTTCCCATACTATGCATTGTTACACCCTTTTGATCATCCTGTTTGTTTCGTTCTTCCTTCATTATATACCAGATAATCTCGGCAATCTTTGTTTTGTACTTTATATTACTGTGAAAGAAAGAATGTCTTTCATACTATTATACTGTCTTCTAATTTCTTCATAACTGTTCATAATGTTTTCACTCTATAGTGATCTCAGTCAAGACATTACAATTGTATCCAGCCACCTTCTCCCTGCCATAAAAAATTAAAGTACTCATATGAACTTTCATAAGACATCATAATGTTTTCCGTAACTGGCACAAATTTTCTTTGAAAACATTATTATGGGGTTAAAAATAGTATAACTGAGGAGATTTATTTACCTTATTGCATATATGTGTTTATGTCTGGGATACTAGAGGTATTCCAGACATAAACATATATATGCAATAAGATCACAGTAAACAGGTGATATTACAGTGTGCAGAACAACCATTGTGAAAAAATAGTGAAATTCCAAGCGCTTTCGTGACTTCTTACATTATCAAAAAACTTTGATAATGTGAGCGAAAGCTCTTGGAATTTCACTATTTTTTCACAGTGGTTGTTCTGCATAAACATATATATCTTACATATGATTTCTGTCTTATCATGTGTGTGAAATGAATGCATGTTATAATGTTTTGTACACTTAGGATTGCAGGTCTTTTCTTTCACTCTCATGAAGATATGAGATAGCAGTAAATCTACAATTTTTTCTGATCAGTATATTCTCATATTAGCTATCTTCTTTGTGTCATAATACAGGGGTAATAGTTTTGTAATCTTGTACCAGATCCATGTTTAGTAATTTATGTATACAGGAAGGCCCCGCTTATGCAGCAGGTTAGGTTCCGGGCTACTGCTGTAAAGTGAAAATTGCTGTAAAGTAAATCATAGCTTTTCTTCACTTTCAGATGCATAAAAGCCTGATAACATGTTTACACTATCATATATTAAGTGAGCAATATGGCTAAGCCTAAAAAAAAATGCATGTAAAGTACACATATTACTTACCTGAAAATATTTTCATCCTTAGCTTATGGTGAGTGGTGAATATATTTATTGTAGGAAGTGTGAATAAATAAAGAATGGGTATAATTGAAAACTGCTGTATTAGTGAAATGCTGTAAAGTGAAGTGCTGTAAAGCAGGGCCTGCCTGTGCACCTCTTAATAACTTCACATTAACTTTTAGCATATCTTGCTCCTAGTATAACATGTATTCTTATTTCATTATTAGGCTGTGTATGACAAGGATTCCTGCACCACCCACATCCATAGTCAAGCTCGGGTTCTCAGTGATGCTGTTCTCAATTTCCAGCTTAGCCAGGAGGAAGTTACTCTCTCTGTCTCACCTCGGAAAACTATTCTCAGAAACTATGTTGATGATGAACCTGGTAAGTTCCTCTCTGTGTCTCATCTCAGAAACTGTTCTGATTATAAGTCTGGTAGGTTAGCCTCTGTGTCTCAGTTCAGGAATTGTTTTGATAATAAGTTCCTCTGTGTATCTCCCCTTAGGAATTAGGTTGATGATGAATGCAGTAAGGACACTTATTCTGAACTTGAAAGCCCTGAGTTTTTTGCATGAATTTGGCCTCATTCAAGATGGAACCCATATCCCAGGGTTTGCTACTTCTTTGTTTGGACAGTATGGATCTTTAAAAAACCTTCCATCATATCCAGTTAATCACAGCTCTTGCAAGTTCTTTTATCTTGATGAGGTGTACTACCAGTTTAATGACATACCTTTTAGCCTTAGACAATACCCTGGGTTTTCACCCAAGTCTGTTTCCCTCTCTGTCCCCATTCTAGGCTTTGAAGATCATCCCTGGAAATATTTTCCATCTTCACTATGACCTCCTGCTCTCACAGCCTTCAATGAATAACCTGGTCTTGGCTCTGGAATACATAGCCTCCCCTCTCTACACAAAGCTGCTCGGACAGTAGGATGTTTTTCCTGGCCTTGCTTTTCTGTGGCTATGTGGTGCCCAGCCTCTTTGCCACAAATTCCTGACATTGGCAGTTCATGTGCCTTTTGAGTTTATTGTGGGTGGCATGTTGTTTATACGTATGTTGATTGAGTTTCTTTATGGTACTGTTTTGCCTCTTACAGTACATTACCTTGCTGAGCTATCGACCTACTACATGTTGTGGTGCACTTTCCTCCTTCCTGCTGTGGTCCACTGCTTGATCTTTTTCGCCTCTGCCACATTGGGAGTGTCCACCTTACATCTGTACAAATGCTGTCTGGTGCAGGGCGATTTCAAATCTAGCAGCCCATGTTGCACTACCTTTGCTCCATGATGGCATAACTGCTCTCCTGCTGGTGGTTATTTTTGGGGTGCTATTTGACATCTACATACTCTTTCTTTTTAGTTGGCATGATTCCAATTGGCCATGTGGAATTCTAAAGCAGAAAATTGTGTTTTGAATGCTGGAAGCTGGTTATCTGCATGAGAGGATCCTGGTTGCTGCCTCTTCCAGCTCTAGTGTTTCTGATTACCAACTGGATTGGGTGGGTTATGCATGCTTCAGCCAACGTCTGTGCACGACTACAATAATAGAGCAGTGACTACTGAGTGAAAGTAAACAAGGGCTGAATAGCAAGTCCAGACCTTCCTGGGGCTAGGAGACGTTAGTAGAAGCAAGGATAGGCATTGCGTATTCCAATTGTACCCTTCTTCCCTAGGGTCCCTAACTTAAAAAAAAAACATTTTCAGTATTCAAAACACAGTTTTATCTACCAATTTGACCTTTTTTGGCAAAATTTTGAAGATAATCTAGAGCTGGTTAAAAAAGCCACCCCCACAACACACATACATACATACGTACTTAGGAAGTATTTCGTGAGTCATAGAGTAGTCAGGAAGTGGAATGGCCTAGCAAATGAGGTAGTGGAGGCAGGAACCATACATAGCTTTAAGATGAGGTATGATAAAGCTCATGGAACAGAGAGAGAGAGGATCTAGTAGCACTCGGTGAAGAGGTGGGCCAGGAGCTGAGTCTCGACCCCTGCAACCACAATTAGGTGAGTACACACACGTACGCACACACGCACGCATGCATATACTCTCTCTCTCTCTCTCTTCATTTTAGTTAATTGTTAGAATGTAAAAATTTTTAAACTGCTTTTTTTTTCTGAAAATTCATAGTCTTAAAATATATTTTTCTTGATGCTAGTGCAGGGATCTTGATACATGGACTTGCAGCTACCCATCCCTTCAGCAGATCAAACCTTATTTCTTCCTATTCTCCAGTTACTGCATAACCTTTATGGGTCTGACTTTTTCTTGTAAATATGGTTTGGTGATTATGAAGAGGCAAAATCTAGAGTGGTAGTTTAGTCTTCATATTTTTCAGTCATTCTAATCATTTTTTTTTTCAGACCCTGGTAAAGCTATTCACACAATGCTTACACTGCAGTCAGAAGAATTTGATGTCTATGACATATCTGGTGATTGTGAGGTTACATTCTGCCTCAAGGAACTTAGAGCAGTTCTTACATTCGCTGAACCTGTTAATCTTCCTATTACTTCACATTTTTCTGACCCAGGAAGGTAAGAGAGTGTGCATTGAATAGAAATTTGAATTTATATAGTTGAATAAAAATAGCTCTGGAAGATATTGTAATTGAAGAAGGTAAAATTTTAGTTAGAAGGCATCTGGAGAGTGATATGGAAAGGATAAACTGAGGTTAATGTGTAAATGTCTAGGGCAGGTCATGACCTGAACTTGGGCTGTGATTTGAACTGGGATCAGGATGATCTGATGGACTGCAGATTGAGTGATTGTGTCATTAATTTTTTTTTTTGAGTGCTTTCTTTGGTATTATATGGTACAATAAATCTACAGCAGTTTCCTGGGTTGCTAAGTAGGTAATGGTGCTATTGACTACTTGCAAGGAGAATATGATTTCAAGCTTTGTGTCTTGAACAAAAAAGTTAGGAACCATTGGTGCACAGTTCTAGCATAGAAATTTTATTTTTCATTTGCTTGGGCAAGTGTACTGAAAAGAGACTACATGAACCACTTTGCATTTAATAAGAATACACTTATGCATTTTATTGATAGCTTCACTTTGATTTTTTAAAATTAAATATCTGTTACTTTCACATTTCACCAAATTTTAAGCTATTCACTCGTAAATTAACTTAGGCAATAGTTTCATTAATGACAGGTGAAATATTATTAACAACTTGAATGCTGATTTAATAGGGTACACATAACAAAGGTAATGGATTCATTAAGTACAAAGAAAGTAGAGTGAAACCTCTATACTAATAGAGGTAGGGCTGTCAGATTTAAGGAAGATCCATTGTATGGAAGTGATCAGCGCAGTGGATTCAGGCCCCTTCGTTGATAGACTACCAGACACAGCAGACTTAGTCTATAGAACTGATGGACTACTGGACATACTCAGAATAAATTATAGTATTAGAATACAAAGTAATAACTTACAATGCAGTATTGTGTCTGAAAATAAAAGAGTTAAAGGTGCAGTACTGTACAGCAATTTTTCTTGACTTCCTGGTGAATAGACAAGTTTACAGTTCAGTTCCTGTGTTGTCTAAGTGGTGACTTGGAATAACTTTTTTGAGTCAGAGGTGTTTTAAAGCTCTAGCAATAATATCATAGATGGTGTGGGAGACATACAGGTAGAGTCCCTTGCTGTGCCATACCTCTCACACAATTAGGCCACCAAGACACGAGGCTCCACTATCCATATTAATTCAAGTTTCTGTAACATTCAGGTTCACACGCTTCTTCTTGGCATCATCACTTGTTTTAGCAGCCATTGTTAGAAACATCGTACAGGATATTTTAATAAATTAAAGATGAACACTGTAAATCAGAGACAACTGGAGATCAAGTGATGATAGTAATAATGTTGGTAGAATTACTGACAAGATATTGAGTATAAGGACACGAGTACAACTAACGTGGCAACGTTTCACTCTCTAGAAGCTTCGTCAAGCCGTTATGGCTTGACAAAGCTCTTAGCGAAATGTTGCCACAATAAAATGTCACATTAGTTGCACTTGTGTCCTTTTACCTAACAAATAATGATAATACATGAGCATTACACAGACAATAACAAACAAACACAGGCTGAGTCACTGGCCTGGCTGCACAGGAACAATGAAAATGTACTGGTCCTAGACACAGGGTGGACTGAACAAACTTATGATGAAGTGGACTTGATCCGCTGCATTGACAGTTTTACCAGAGACACGTCCATACAGTGGACTTGTCGAGCCTCTGTCTGGCTAGAGTGTTTTGTCCAGTTTATCCGATTTCTGTTTTACAGAGGTTCATTATACTATAGAGGTTTTACTGTATTTTAAATATTTATGAAAGTTTGCATTTTATTTATGTGGAGGTAGGTTGCAGGTGAACTCATGAAGTAGTAGTTTGCAGATGTACTCATGAAGAATTTTGTAAGTGTATGTTATGAATATACATGAAATTTAAAATGGATGAGTTTGTAGATTGTTTGGTTACAGATTGGTTACAGCTATATCTTTTAGCATATTTATAGGAAAGCCACTTGTTAAGTGAATCATTCTAAGCAAACTAACTTTAAATTTTTTAAACTTCTAAATGATAGTTCTAGCATGTAAATTTAGGCTTGTGTGACAATACTATGTGAATATTTTATGCATTTTATAAATGCTTAGGAGTTACTTAATATTAGCTGAAATTTCTAGTTTATCCGAGAAGAGATTATTGATCAAGCAGTACTTTATCATCAAGTAATTTACAAGTGGATTTCCTTAATTAATTTTTTAACATACTTTCCATCTCTCACTGAGGTAGAGTGACCTGGAAAAGAAGAAATACTTTCACTATTGCTCACTCTATCACTGTCTTGCCAGAGGTGTACCAACAGTACAGTGCAGATGTTCCTCCAAGCTGCATTATCTCTACCCCTTCTTCAGAGTGCAATCACTGTACTTCCCATCTCCAGGACTCAAGTCTAGCTAACCGGCTTCCCTGAATCCCTTCATAAATGTTACCTTGCTCGTACTCCATCAGCGCTTGATGTGCTTTTTTTTATTTTTATATTAACACATCAGCCACTTCCAACTGAGGCAGGGGTGATCTGAAAAAGAAAAAAACACTTGCATTATCGCTCACTCCATCACCGTCTTGCCAGAGGCATGCTCACACTATACAGTGGCACCCAGAGTTTCGTACAGCTCCCAACTCGAACAATTATGTAAGTGTATTATTGTAAGTGCTTTTGTAAGTGTGTTTTTGGGGGTCTGAAATGGACTAATCCAATTTACATTATTCCTTATGGGAACAAATTCGTTTGGTAACAACACTCAAACAGCCTTCTGGAATGAATTATGGCTGAAACTCGGGGTACCACTGTAGTTCAAAAATTGCAACATATCTTCACCCCTCCTTTGGAGTGCAGGCACTGTGCTTCCCACTTATATATATTATATTGAGGTTCATTATGTTACACTGAGTCTACAATATAGTTTTGGACGAACCACATATAAGCCTTCAGTTGGGCACATTGTATATACAGTGGACCCCCGCTTTACTATCAGCTCCCAATGCGACCAATTATGTAAGTGTATTTATGTAAGTGCGTTTGTACGTGTATGTTTGGGGGTCTGAAATGGACTAATCTAATTCACAATATTCCTTATGGGAACAAATTCGTTCTGTAATGGCACCTGAACATACTTCTGGAATGAAATAATATCGTAAGCCGGGGGTCCACTGTATACTGCTGTGTGAGGCCACTGAATGTTCATGAACAAGAATGGGAAATCAAACACAGGGTAGAAAAGATATGTACATTTCAGCCTCAGAAACTCTCTCATGAATTGAAGAAGGTCTCAGATAGGAATAAGAGGCATATTTTTTTTTTTATTTTATGTGCTATTGGAGTGTGAGGAAGGTAGCACTTATGAAGTTATTCAGTAAGACTGGTTAGCCAGACTTGAATTCTGGGGGTGGGAAATATACAATAGTATGTACTTGTACTCTTAGGGAAGAGTGGGAATGTTGTGGTTTGGGGATCATTTGAATTGCAATGTCCTTGCACTTCTGGAAAGATAGCTTGAGAGTGAGTGATGGCAAATGTATTTCCTTCTATGGGTCTTCTCTCCTTGGTGTGAAAGAGCCAATACGTTAAGAAATGTAGCTCTTCTTCTTTCAACAAACTGGCTGTATCCAACCAAAGCAGGGTGGCCCAAAAAGAAAAACAAAAGTTTCTCTTTTTAGCTTTAGTAATGTATACAGGAGAAGGGGTTACTAGCCCCTTGCTCTCGGCATTTTAAGTTGCCTCTTACAACATGCATGGCTTATGGAGGAAGAATTCTGTTCCACTTACCCATGGAGAAGGAAATGCAGTTATAATAATTTATTAACAGGCAAGAAAACATAACCTTGGGTTAGCATATGTATACTATATACAGTGGACCCCCGCATAATGATTACCTCCGAATGCGACCAATTATGTAAGTGTATTTATGTAAGTGCGTTTGTACGTGTATGTTTGGGGGTCTGAAATGGACTAATCTACTTCACAATATTCCTTATGGGAATAAATTCGGTCAGTACTGGCACCTGAACATACTTATGGAGTGAAAAAATATCGTTAACCGGGGGTCCACTGTATTGATAATTCTTTTAATTATTGTTTTACCATCTGTACTCTTAAATGGTAGTATGCTATAATGTTATGAATGTTTTGCTTTTCAGCCCAATCATATTCTGTGTTAACAACAGTCCCATGTTTGAAGGAATATTTGTCTTAGCAACTCTGTCTCAGAAGCCAGACACACAAGTCTCTGGGAGTCATGCCCTAGGCAGGCGAACACCTCAGTCAGTACATAAGAGAAATGATCCTGAGTCACCCTCATGCTCGCAGGCACCCTCTGCTATGAATAGAACAGTGCAGTCCATTAATGAATCACTTCGGGTTGAGTCGCCAACTGTTAGAAGACCACAGAAAACTAATGATATTCCTAGGAGTGTTTATGAAAATAGAGGTAAGATTGCTGCTATTCACTGTTCAAGTATTGTATAGGTTTACCTGGAGTTTACCTGGAGAGAGTTTCGGGGGTCAACGCCCCCGCGGCCCGGTCTGTGACCAGGGTAAATGTGTCATAACTTAAATCAGGGCTGAATACATTTCTATCCTAGAAAGCCTATGTAGTAATATATGTTAATTTCCTTCTGACTCACTTTCATTTTTTACATATCTCAATACAGTAATTGAAAATACCTGGACATTGATCTAGGGCCCTGACTTAACCTTGTTAATAAAACTGAAGTCTCCAGCATCTTTTAAAATCTTTCTTCTTTCAACACACCGGCCGTATCCCACCGAGGCGGGGTGGCCCAAAAGGAAAAACGAAAGTTTCTCCTTTTACATTTAGTAATATATACAGGAGAAGAGGTTACTAGCCCCTTGCTCCAGGCATTTTAGTTGCCTCTTACAACACGCATGGCTTACGGAGGAAGAATTCTGTTCCACTTCCCCATGGAGGTAAGAGGAAATAAACAAGAACAAGAACTAGTAAGAAAAATAGAAGAAAACCCAGAGGGGTGTGTATATACGTATATGCTTGTACATGTATGTGTAGTGTGACCTAAGTGTAAGTAGAAGTAGCAAGATGTACCTGAAACCTTGCATGTTTATGAGACAGAAAAATGGACACCAGCAATCCTACCATCATGTAAAACAATTACAGGCTTCCGTTTTACACTCACTTGGCAGGACGGTAGTACCTCCCTGGGTGGTTGCTGTCTACCAACCTACTATCTAGAATCTTTTAAAATACCTTCCACAAAATACTTTGTAAAATAATTTCCTTAAACATATATAAATGACACATCTTTTTCTTGTACCTCATGCTTTTTAGATCTTTGGTTAGGAACTTTGATTTGGACACAGTGATAAAAGGTGTCTGTTAATCACTGGATAACACAGGCTTGTTTCGCCTCATTGATGATGGAAGTAGTTTTGGGAGCACAGCCAAAGTCACAACATTGGTGCTGAGAGCACAGCCAAAGGTACAACATTAGTAGTAAAAGTGATGTTGTGAGCACAATGAAGGTCACAGCATTGCTCATTAGAAAATGTCTTTTGTAAGATTGTTCTATTTCATGTATGTTATTGCCACGAATGGAGCTATGCACTAAACATTACACAGCCCAGTCTCATTGGAACTTTCATTTCAATACATGTCCTTAAGGTTCCATTCAGATCAACACGTGTGTTATACATCAATATGTTACAGACTTTAGCTTCATACTGTCACCAGTTGAAATTGAGTACATTGTAATGTTGGAAAGAGGAGGTGAAGAAACTACTACTAATTTTTTATAATAAGGAGGCAATAGGGTCCGATGAGATAACATAATTATTCCTAAAGGATTGCGCAGAACTAAGTTATTCTCTGTGGAAAATCTGTATCATGTTTGGTTTTACTGGACTTGTATAATATTATCTACATGAGATGGTTGACTCCCAAGTTGGAAGCAGTTTGTTGTCCTGGCCATCCACAAGCTGGGCCAGGACCCCAAGGAGGCTGTAAAATCATTGATCTTCATAGATGACCAACAAGCTCTTTTTAGTCACTGGTATATACTGTATACTGAAATTGGGCCTCTGATTGTCCTTCCTTCTGTTGTTAGTTGTGAGAAATAATACTCTCATGCCTATATACTAGTCATGCCTCATAATGTTAATCTCTTGGAGGGGCAATCAGCTTCACTTTTTGAAAATTGTCAGGTCAGGCTGACAGTTTAACATCTTTTGACTGATATCCCCATTCATCAAAAAATGCATTCCTTTCATTTTACCCTCTCCTTGAGTGCATTGACATGCTTCCTCTCCCCTCCTTTCTGACAGTTTCACATTGAATGTGAAGTGGCTCTATGATGTTTGTAACAAATTGATTTATTAAGCCAACTGTGGCTCCTTCATTTTGCACTTGTGTCCACACTTAGTGCTTTTATCTCTCTACTTCTTCCATCAGCCTTACCATTGACATTAACACTGAATTATCCACATAGATTTAGTGTTTTCCTTGATTTTAATTCATTTTTATTCCAAAAAAATTATCAATTTTCCTTTTGATACCCTTTTGATATCCTTGGGATACCCTCCTACTTATCCACAAACCCTACTCTGCTCCACACTGATTCGTTAATTAACTCTGTTTCCACGAACTGATATCTGCTCAGCTAAAAGTGGTGGTATGGTATGTTTGATATGGTTGGTTATATGGAGGTTGGGTCTAATAAGTTTTGTTGTGCTTAAATATTGTTTCTTAGTGTTATGTTGTACTTTTATTCCTTAATGATATAGTTATTGGCTCATTCCATCTGGTTTTATTTTTTCTGTCTCCATAAGGTATATAGCTTCACATTCATTCAGAAGAAATGTAACACCAAGACTCTTATTTTGGTTATTCCAGTTTATGTAGCTGGACACTGGTGAAAGGTTATTAGACTAATAATTTGTTGAGATATTCAATGTAGATACTGTAGATTTTTTTTTTACTTCATTGGCCATCTCCCTCAGGACAGGGTGACCCAAAGAAGAAAACACATTCACCATCATTCATTCACTCAGTCTTACCAGGAGTGTGCTGACATCACAGTTCAGATTACCCTCTTGACTGCAACATGAGTACCCCTCTTTCAGAGTGCAGGCACTGTCCTCCCTACCTCCAGGACTGTAGTCAGGCTAGCTGGTTTCCCTGAATCCCTTCATAAATGTTACAGTATATAATGCACAGATTTGACTAATGCAGGGAGTGTAAATAATAATGCCTCGTTGTTCTCTATAACTCACATTAATCAAATAATATTTAGAAAATATAATACAGTATATTATAGTATTATGTGGAGGTGGGAAACACAATGCCTACATTCTGAAGGATGGTTTGGGATGTTAGGGCTCAGAGGCTCATTTGAATTGTGGCGCCTGTGGAATTCTTGAAAAACAGCTAGGGAATGAGTGATGGTGAATGCGTTTTCTTCTTTGGGTCATTCTACCTTATTGCAAAATTGTGGGTATGTTAAAAATAGACATAATAACACTGTTTACCAAGATTATTTTAATGAAAATAATCTTGTTTAATTAGCTAGTAATTTGTGTTTATCCCTTCAGAAACTGTATCTTCAGCTTGTACCTCTGCAACCCATGACAAGGCAAATCCTCAGAAGAATAATGAGGCCATACCACTTTCATCATCAATGCAACACAGACATGCTAGCAACATCAATGGCAGTGTATCCCAGCCTGAGATATCTCTACTAAGGTTAGAGGCAAATAATATGGCAGCAGAAGAGGAGGAAGAGGAGGTCATACCAGGAACTCCACCTCCAAGAAATTCAGATTCTTCTTTCGTCCATGCTTTGAGTCCACATTTGATCCTCTAACACTTTTTGAACCAGACAAAATCTTAGCAGAAGACTCAGATGATGATTCATGAGTATAATTTTAACAGTAATTCATGAATCAAATATTTCTGGCATGGAGCACAGTGTTAAACAAAGTATATTTTGTTCATACCAGTAAATAGTTTGAATGAAGGATGACTTATTAGTGAGCAACTGCTTGTTGCTGATGCTGATTCCTCACAGAAACAGATTGTAAAATGAGGATAACATTCCTTGCACGAAAATATTTTTGGTGCTGCCAGTGAGTCTTGAAGAAATACACCGTTGCGAGTGAGATAGTGCATGGGAATCATATGTTAGCTAACATACTCAAACTTTTTTAAACTGTGTTTATTTTGTATTGAGGTCATCCTAGTTAGTTTAATATCTTTAATATGCACCCTATACCCATCCTGTGGGCAGTAGTCAAAAAATTCCAGAGGCATACAGTGGGTCCAGGAACTGGGCTACAAAGTTTTGATAGTTACTAAACAAGTTAAAGTGGTAATGAACGATTTGTAAACATGTTTATATCATCCTGTTGATAAAATATTGAATGATTGCTTTAAATTGTACAAACCTTCAGGGTGAGACATTTCAGATATGACCTACTTAAGGTTGGTAGTGAATGATAACTAGTAAGAGAAATGGGCATTTATATATTATTGATGAGGGAAGGAGCACTGCATGAATAAAGTAAGTCTATTTTTGGTTCCATTATTGTTTTATTTTTTAACTCGTTTGCCATCTCTCACCAAGGCAGGGTGACCCAAAGAAGAAACTTGCACAACGATTCATTCAGTTAGTATGTTTCCAGAAGTGTGCTGACAACAAAATTAGAGTATCCTCTGACTGTCACATCCCCACCTCTTCAGCTTACAGGGACTTTCCTTCCTAACTCCTGGGCTCAAGTCCAACTAACTGGTTTCCCTGAATCCCTTCCTAAGTTACCTTGCTTACACTCCAACAGCATTCCCATTAAAATCCACTTGTCTTTATTCACTACTGTCTAATTTGTTTACACAAGCCTGCTAGATGCTCAAGTCCCTAAAACTCAGTCTCTTTTACTCCCTCCTACCATTCCTGGGACTATCTCTCCCTCCTACCTTTCACTCCAGATTTGTAAGCAGCATTCATCATCCTATCCCTCTCCATTCTTTCTACATGATCAAACTACCTCATAACCCCTCCTCATACCTCTGAATTATACTACCTCACATCGCCTTTTAATTTCAATCCTCTGAGTTCTATGCAAGATATCCACACATTGTTCTCAAACATGACATCTCCACTGCCTCTAGCCTTCTTGCTGAGGCATTCAAAACCCATGCTTTACGTCCATATAAAAGTGTTGCCGCATCCCTTTTTGCCTCCATAGATAGACTTCCTTCTTTCCACAAATAGGCCGGCACACCACCCACCTTCTTCCCCCCATACTCATTTATTCTCTGGTCACTTTATCTTTCATAGACCCTTCTGCTGACATGTCCACTCCCAGATATCTAAATGTATCCATTTCCTTCATACTTTGTCCCTCCAATCTGATATTCAGTCTTTCCTTACCTAGACTTTTTTTGTTACCCCTCATCACCTTGCTCTTATCTGCCTTCACTTTCAGTTGCCTTCTTTTACATTACCTCCCAAATTCGTGCACCAGCCTTTATAACTTTTCTTCAAAATCACCCTAAAAGAACTGTCATTAGCAAAGAGCTGCTGGGATAACTCCCACTTTACATCAGGTCCAACACCTTTCAATCCCATACCATGGTAACACCACACATCCATTATTAGTAGGCATAATTTGTAATGTTTTATCAAAAGACATTGTAAATTAATTGTAATTTACTTAGTAATACAGTATTCATGTACAGTACACTCCAAAATGTTCATGTAAACTACTGTTTTGTCGAATAATGTGATAATATATACAACATTAATAAATTTTCTTAACTGATATATATAAAAAATTTTAATGTTTATTTTTTCTTTTTCAACAAACTGGCCACATCCCACCAAGGCAGGGTGGCTCAAAAAGAAAAATGAAAGTTTCTCTTGTTAAATTTAGTAATTTATACAAGAGAAGGGGTTACTAGCCCCTTGCCCTCTTGATTAAATAGCTGAAACAAAAACTAGGAGAAATATGCAGAAAATTTTAATAAATTGATTTGGGACTATGGTTTAAAAAAAATAATATAGAATTATCATAACATAAGAGAGTAGGGGAGGAGAGAGAGCTTGAAATGTGATTATAACTGCTTTCTGGACACCCACCCCACCAGAATTCCTATTTTATTTTTTTTTTTCCTATTCCTGCCTCATACACTTACCATGTAAAAGCTACTTCTGAGCATACAACACCCACCCCACCAGAATTTCTATTTTTTTTTTCTATTCCTGCCTCATACACTTATCATGTAAAAGCTACTTCTGAGGATACAAAGAGAAAAAAGGAGGCACTTATTTCTAAATTAAGAAATTGCTCTACAGGAAACTTGGTTGATGTTCCTATGCATGAAAGGCATCAGGAAATAGAGTAGGAACACTGACCACACATGGAATGAGCTCCTACTTGCCCACTCCACCAGCATTGGTGTTTTTCATTCTTTCCCCTGCACTTGCAGCGCTGTATAGCCCTTGTGGTTTAGCGCTTCTTTTTTATTATAATAATAATAATTCCCATGCACTTAAAATGATACATCTGTGGGTATGAGAAAAGAGCTCTACCTAGCAAGGTATCTGGTATTTGGCAATAATTACTAATGTGATCTGTTCAGTGTAAGTATAAAAGAAACTTGTGCAATGTTAGGTAATTTTATTATGGACTGATAAAACCCATAGTAGGTGAAACATTTTTCATTATAAATTTACTTAACATTGCATTGGTGTTTCTTTTAATGCATTTGTTGATATTGTATGCCTTGTTTGGACAAAATTTTTCTTACCCCTTTTAAATTTGTCCAAAACAAATCTATGTTCACATGCAAGTGTTCCAAAAGTAGATCTATGTTTTTTTACATTTTTTCAAATAAACAAAAAAAAATTTAGATCAAATTTTTTTTACACGTTTTTAAAATTAAAAAAAAAAAAAAGGCTCTAGGTTTTTTTACAAAACTTTAAAAATTTTTGAAAAAACGTAGAATCAACGTTTGGAAATTTTTAAGGGGTTTAAGCCTTGCACGTCATAGTGGTGACTAAAATGTAAAAAATTACTAATTTTAAAAAGAAAAACTTTGTTTTTTTTTTAGGTCCCCCTGGCCTCATTGGGATCCCGGCGGGTTTTGTTGAAAAAAAAAATTTTTATTGTTGTGTAATAAAAAAGTAAAATTTTTTTAAAAAGGACGATGAAAAACCTAAACATGGAGTGTTTGTTTTTTTTGGTATAGTACCTGGTTAAGCCGTGAGGCCCAAAACGTGCCCTTACTATTAAATTTTTTTTGCCACAAAAGGGAAAAACGGGTTTTTTTCAGTATTGAAATTTCTGAAAATTTTTTGCCGGGGTTCAATTGTGGTAAACAAAAATTTCCCATGTAAAAAATTTGCTTTAAATTATAAGCTAAAAAAAACTATTTTATGCGGGATATATGTCTGAATATTTTCCAGGGGGAATAGAGAAGAACCCTTTTCCCCAAAAAGCCAGATTTTTGCAAGAGGCGAAAAAAAATGCTGGGGTTCCGGGGATTAAAACCCGGGGACTAAAATAAAAAAACCCGGTTGCCGGACTTGAGTCCTGGAGATGGGAAAGTACAATCCCTTTGCACTTTAAAGGGGGGGTTTTTGGGGGTTTTTGGGGGCCTTTTGGGAGTGACATCTAAATTTGCCCATATCGAGTGCCCTACGAAGACAGTACCCCATCTTGTTGAGGTTGCAGGGGTCCGGGGTCCAAACTCCTGGCCCCTGATTAAGGGATGGGAAAGATGGGGGAAAGTGTTGAGTGTTTAAGAAAGTTTTTTCTTTTTTGGGTCAACCCCCCCCCCTGTTTTGGGAAAAGACCGTTGTTTAAAAAAAAAAAATATATTTTATGGCCAGTGTATGAAAAATTTTTTTGTTACTTTTGTGTAGATGCTTTAAATATAAAAATGCTGCTAAGTAATAGTCAGGTTCTTTTTGACTTTAAGAAAATAAATGGTGAAATACAATTTACTGTAACTGATACACAGTAAACTATGTTTATTCAGGAAAGATCAAAGGCTAGCAGAATATTTTTTTATAATTCTCTTCTGAAAATTTATAATTTATATTATAAAGCATTAATGTTAAATTATTAGATTTTGATAAAATGTGATGTATTAAATTTTCACTTTTAAAATATGCTTGATTGTTTGACAGCAATTATCTGTACAGGCTTTGGAGACACAAGGTTCTTTTTCTAAATATTGTCACAAATGATCAGTTGAGAACGATTGTTCCACACTTGAAATTATCAGTCGGGAACAACAGTTCCAAACTTATTCATTTTAATTAGGAGCCTTTACTGTTGCAAATTTTCTCTTTCATATATTATGGATAACCATGTGGATAACCACATGGATAACCACGTGGATAACCATGTAGATAACCACGTAGATAACCATGTAGATAACCACGTAGATAACCAAGTGGATAACCACTCTGCCTTGGTGGGAAACGGTCAATGTGTTAAAAAAAAAAATGGTTTAATTGATGCTGAGTTGGTTGGAGGGAATCAGTGCTCTGGTTGATCTGCTCCTATGTACATGTACTTGTAGTAAATAAAGATATTATTATTATTATTATTATTATTATTATTATTTTTTTTTTTTTTTTTCAACAAGTTGGTCGTCTCCCACCAAGGCAGGGTGACCCAAAAAAGAAAGAAAATCCCCAAAAAGAAAATACTTTCATCATCATTCAACATTTTCACCACACTCACACATTATCACTGCTTTTGCAGAGGTGCTCAGGATACAACAGTTTAGAAGCATATACGTATAAAGATACACAACATATCCCTCCAAACTGCCAATATCCCAAACCCCTCCTTTAAAGTGCAGGCATTGTACTTCCCATTTCCAGGACTCAAGTCCGACTATAAGAAAATAACCGGTTTCCCTGAATCCCTTCACTAAATATTACCCTGCTCACACTCCAACAGATCGTCAGGTCCCAAGTATCATTCGTCTCCATTCACTCCTATCTAACCCCGCTCATGCAGCTTCCCTGGAAGTCCAAGCCCCTGCCCACAAAACCTCCTTTACCCCCTCTTTCCCAACCCTTTCGAGGACGACCCCTACCCTCTTTCCTTCCCCTATAGATTTATATGCTTTCCAAATGTCATTCTACTTTGATCCATTCTTTTCTAAATGACCAAACCACCTCAACAACCCCTCTTCTGCCCTCTGTACTAATGCTTTTATTAATTCCACCCCTTCTCCAAATTTTTCCACACCCCGAATTTTCTGCATAAAATTTACAAACCCCACATGCCCTTAGACAGGACCTCTCCACTGCCTCCAACCGTCTCCTCGCTGCTGCATTTACCACCCAAGCTTCACATCCATATAAGAGTGTTGGTACTACTATACTTTCATACATTCCCTTCTTTGCCTCCATAGATAACGTTTTTGGGCTCCACATATACCTCAACGCACCACTCACCTTTTTCCCTCATCAATTCTATGATTAACCTCATCCTTCATAAATCCATCCGCCGACACGTCAACTCCCAAATATCTGAAAACATTCACTTCTTCCATACCCTCCTCCCCCAAATTTTATATCCCAAATTTTTTTTTATCTAAATCATTTGATACCCTCATCACCTTACTCTTTTCTATGTTCACTTTCAACTTTCTACCTTACACACATTCTCAAACTCATCCACTAACCTTTGCAATTTTTCTTTAGAATCTCCCATAAGCACAGTATCATCAGCAAAAAGTAACTGTGTCCCAAATTCCATTTTGAATTTGATTCCCCATAATTTTAATCCCACCCTCTCCCAAACACCCTAGCATTTACTTCTTTTACAACCCCATCTATAAATATATTAAACAACCATGGTGACATTACACATCCCTGTCTAAGACCTACTTTTACCGGGGGAAATATTTTTCCCTCTCTTCTACAACCCCTAACCTGAGCCTCACTATCCTCATAAAAGCTCTTTACAGCATTTTTGTAACTAACCACCTATTCCATAAACTTGCAACATCTGCCACATTGCTCCTCTATCAACTCTATCATATGCCTTTTCTAAATCCATAAATGCAATAAAAACTTCCCTACCTTTATCTAAATACTGTTCACATATATGCTTCAATGTAAACACTTGATCTACACATCCCCTACCCACTCTGAAGCCTCCTATTATTATTATTATTATTATTATTATTATTATTATTATTATTATTATTATTATTATTATATTGTTATAATTCTACTATGAGGCAAGTGACACTGATGCCATAATTTAAGAACAAATCATAGTATTGTCTTTAGAAAAAACCCATAACATCACTTTTCAGTACTTTGTCCTCCCTTCACCCTGTTGGTCCCATTTTAATGGATTCTCTTGATTTCTTGGTTGATGTCCTTTCTTCTCTTCCTACACCTCTTCTCTGCCATCTCTTTCATTTGTCACATAGCAGTGAATGATCTTTACTTGTTTAGCACTCTCCATGAATAATAATACCCATAAACCTCAGTCAAAGACCCTCTAGTGATGAGGGTCTTAGAGTATGAAATATAAAGATATCTTTTTACCTGAGTTTCACTCTTTGGTTCAGGCAGTGTCTTGCTTGACACACTAATCTTGTGAGCATTTTTTTTTTCTTTTTTTTTTTTCACTTTCTGACATTTCCATTGCATGGTTTTTGTCAACATTAAATTCCAGTATTCATTTAACACTTACCTTGCTAAACCTAACCCAGTTTTCTTATAGAGATTTACAGTAAATATTAATTAGTGTTTTTCATTAACATGAATTATTTTGATACACTTCAGTTATTTTGTCAATTTATTGTGCTAGCCGATGTTGATAGGGTATATGCGTGATTTACTTACAGAGCAAAATGCAAAATGAGTGTCTTTTAAATATATAATGTACAATAGTGTATTATGTTTACTAATTATGAACCCTAAACCATAAAAATTTAAACTGATTTGTAATATTTATGATTATTTATGATTTATCTTCTCATTTGCTATCCATAATTACCCCAAATGTATCTGTGATATCTATTTTAAGAATATAAGCATTCATTGAGCTGACCAATTTTCAGATAAAAGTTTGTATTTTTACATATAAAGGAGAAATTTAATAAGTTAATTTTTATTGTCCTAATAACCTTATGCAGTCAACCCATGTAAAATGTAATTGAGAATAACAATCAGAAGCTAAATCCAGGATCTTCCCTGCAGAATAAGTTTTTTCTCATCAAATGACAAACTCTCATGCCAGACAACCAGTAAGAAGAAATAAACACATGCAACGAGTTATTACTTGTTAGGAAGGGGGGCTGCTTGGCAAGAGAGAGATTCACTCTGCAACCTTTATTTTAGCCTGCATGAATTCTCAAGAAACTCCATGCAAGAAGAAAAGGCTAGTTCTAGTGTCACAGCACATTGTAAAGCTCACTCTGAAGTAAACCTAAATGTGCTGGAAAACTTAGAGAAGAATGACAAGATTAATTCCCTGTATCTGAAACCTTTCCCACAATGATTGCTTGAAAGCACTGAAATTTCAGTCCTGAAAAGGTGCAAAATTATGAGGTATACAACAGAAGTATGCAAATAAAAAAATGTATGGAAGTGATGAAAATATCTAGCAAAGATAGGACTTGTAAGAACAGATTCAAGTATGATTAATTTAGATTAAGAAAGAATATAGGAAAACATTGGTTTGGGAATAGAGCTGTAAATGAGTGAGACAAACTACCAAGGAGTAAAACAAGTAGACACTTTTGTCAGTTGAAG